CCCCAAAACCCCAAAACCCCAAAACCCCAAAACCCCAAAACCCCAAAACCCCTTCCTCAATTTTCAAAACTGAAGTTACAATTTTTTACAAATTTATTTTCTTTTAAATCCAATTATCTCTCAATCATTGTGCTTGCCTCGGCATACATAGCAGAACTCATATCCTCATCTGTAAGTGATATGGTTGCATCCCTCTCATCTCTGGACCCAGAATTTACATTCTGAGCATTTCTAGAACCTCTACTTGATCCAAGTACAACTATGTGGTTCTTCTGCTGTAGCCCAAAAGTAGCAAAGACCATGTTTTCAGGTTTGATTCCTATGATCTTCTTATGCTCTCTGCCGGTTAGTTTTGGGTGCCATTTCTCTCTGCATTTTAGGCAATACGAGACTGAGCACAATGGACAACTATGTTTCGAAGATTTGGAGTCTTGTGGAACCTCAAAAATATGAAATCAGTTCGGAGATGGGCAGAATTGGTAGAGGTCTGAATTTTGGTAGACAAAATTTTCAATTTCAAATCTCTCATATATCTGACATAGTTTAGTCTCACAAGTATCCTTGATGTCCTGCTCTTGGAACTTTTCCATGCAGCTATGTATATGTATAGGATAGCTTATTGGGAAAGACTATACATCAACTTTAGATTTGATGTACATCCCCAGACATTCAGTGTCGCACATGTGGCCACATTGTGTAAGGATCAAGTCATGAATCTCGATACTTCTGTAACAAATTGAACACTCTAAGAAATCCTTATTTGATTCACAATTGAGACCAGGAGTTACTAAAGCTCTTGTTTTCACCTCTTCTTTAAAAGAATTCTTCAGACCAGAAGACTCTTAGGAGATCTTAGCAGGTGTCTTCTCTTCTTCATTAGGACTAGAAACTTGAGGGATGCACTGAGCCTTTGATCGATTGAGGTTTCTAACTAGAGAAATTGCATCACTCATTTTTTATATCTGACATCTTTTCCTCTTTTGTCTCTTGAGAAGGCTGGATGAAGAACTTTGGAGCTTGCTTCTTAGCTATATTATTCCGGGAACTCTTCTTTTTGGATGATGGGGGAAGAGTGAGGGATTTAGAATATTTTGATTTGTCACCTAGATAGGACTTGTTCAGCTTATTCAAATTCGTTCTTGAACAATTAGTTATTGGGGAAAACAAGAATGCACGCTATATTTCAAACTTTTATGATCCTTAATTGGACTAGTTACTATTTAGAATGATCAGGCAGATTATTTAGTGAGAATAAAGGCTTAGTGTTCATGAGAGGACTTATAGACCCGTCGAAGAATCCTAATTTTTATATTTACCTCTTCACTTAGATAATCCTTCTTCAGCCTTTTGAATCAAATTCTCATACGTTCTGTGGCTTTTCGGTCTTGATGACTCTTTTTAGCAGTCACTGGCCTTGAATCTTTTTCTGTCTTGAAATAAGACAATTTGAGGACATCTTGAGGTCTAACTCGAGCATATAGGGTACATAAGCTCCTTCCAAAACGCCATCTGCTCAAAATTCGCCATCCAATCCTCTCTCAGCTCTTAGGGGTTTTGGGGTTTTGGGGTTTTGGGG